CAACTGAAGTTGCCCAAATGGGATATGTACAACTGTTGGTTTGGTTCTTCTCTTCTAAAGCTCTTTTAGATGTTTCTTCACTTAAGAGAGAATAAAAAGATACGATCTTTCTTTTGATATCATGCTTTATATATTCAACTTGTAAAGCAATCACCATAATCATAAAAATTGTTGTAAGCATTTGGGAATATTATATGGCTCATTCTGGTAGATGACTTGGTGCATAGTGTGGTACGTGTTTGGTTGGAAAAATAGCAGTTCCAATGGAAACTTTTTTTGTTTTTAATGGAAACAACACTATTTTCACTGCTAAATAGCCATCCACCATGGCTGCTGGAGCTGCTTAATTAAGAGCATAGATAGTGAATAACATTACACAAGACAGTATCAAAATTAAACAGAGGCATGAACTGAGGTAGCAACATAAAAACACAATAAGATGGTTAGCTAGTAGTGGATGTGAAATGCTCGATAAAGCGAAACATATAGGCATTTGGCCTTGAAACCTCAAGTTATTTTCCATGGTTATAAATTCCTCACAACACACACTAATAAATCAGCTACCTTTCTCAGTATCTGCAGGGCTATTACATTTGTATCCTACCAATTCAGTGAACTTCTCCACCAATTCTGTAGCTTTCCATAACAAAGCTACCAATTCAGGGATAATCAATCAATTTGTCGTGTCTCTAGTGAATTTAACCATTTATATTGCAAAGATGGATATAAACATGCTCAAATCCTGCTAGATAGAAGAAGAAGCAACTGACCTCGGATGCTTGAACCTTAAACCCAGAACGGAGAAGCTTATTCGAACGACATCATCTTTTCTTTGATTGTCCATTCAGTCATGATATATGGTTTGCTTTCTACTCGGCTCCGCATTTATCTCCCCCGGTTAACTTCGATCAATGTCTCTTGTGGCTTCTCAACCCATCCAATGATCCCAACATCTTACTCATCATGAGACTTGCATTTCAGGCCTCCTTATACGGGATTTGGATGCGAGACTTCACTCCTCAACCTCTACCCCGGCATCGGAGATTATAAAATGCATAAAAAAACGCTTCGTTGTAGATTGGATCCGTTAAGGCGAGCTCAACCAACTCTTTGCTTACAACTTGGTTCTCGTTATTTGATTGTTAGGAATTGTTTGTTTGCATCAAACTGTTGCTTCATATTCTGGGGCTGTTATGAGATGTTGTTCGTTTATGTCAAATTAGGAAGTTCGTCTAGATACAAAAATTGGATGCAAAATCAAACCCATCCAAAATTTATAGATTTTTTTGATGAGTTTGGAAGTAGAGTTTGGATACACTAAACTCATCCAAAATTACAAAAGTCAAAAATACCCTTATTTTATAAACAAAAAT